CTCCCATTGTCCCTCACTCCCAACTCCCCTTCTCCCCTCCCTCATTCCCGCCCCCCTTCCCTTGTCCCTCACTCCCATCCCCCCTTGTCCCTCACTCCCATCCTCCCTTCTCCCCTCTCTCACTCCCATCCTCCCTTCTCTCCTCTCTCACTCCCAGCCCCCCTCCCCCTGCACGGGAGGGGGGGGGCGGGGGCGCATCGTAAGAGCTCGGCAACGTGCCAGCGTCGGCGCGGCGCATGGACAACAAAGATGACAACAGGCATGACAACAGGGATGACAACAGGGATGACAGCATGGACGACAACATGGATGACAACATGGACGACAACAGGGATGACAACATGGATGACAACATGGACGACAACAGGGATGACAACATGGATGACAACATGGATGACAACAGGGATGACAACAGGCATGACAGCATGGACGACAACAGGGATGACAACAGGGATGACAACAGGGACGACAACAGGGATGACAACAGGCATGACAACAGGGATGACAACAGGGATGACAACAGGGATGACAACAGGGATGACAACAGGGATGACAACAGGGATGACAACAGGGATGACAACAGGGATGACAACAGGGATGACAACAGGGATGACAACAGGGATGACAACAGGGATGACAACAGGGATGACAACAGGGATGACAACAGGGATGACAACAGGGATGACAACAGGGATGACAACAGGGATGACAACAGGGATGACAACAGGGATGACAACAGGGATGACAACAGGGATGACAACAGGGATGACAACAGGGATGACAACAGGGATGACAACAGGGATGACAACAGGGATGACAACAGGGATGACAACAGGGATGACAACAGGGATGACAACAGGGATGACAACAGGGATGACAACAGGGATGACAACAGGGATGACAACAGGGATGACAACAGGGATGACAACAGGGATGACAACAGGGATGACAACAGGGATGACAACAGGGATGACAACAGGGATGACAACAGGGATGACAACAGGGATGACAACAGGGATGACAACAGGGATGACAACAGGGATGACAACAGGGATGACAACAGGGATGACAACAGGCATGACAACAGGGATGACAACAGGGATGACAACAGGGATGACAACAGGGATGACAACAGGGATGACAACAGGCATGACAACAGGGATGACAGCAGGCATGACAACAGGGATGACAACAGGGATGACAACAGGGATGACAACAGGCACGACAACCGGCACGACAAGAACAACAGGGATAACAAGGTACCTGTTAGCGATCTGTTTAGGCCGAGCTCTAGGACGCCTGTTGGCAGAGCGATGGTGGTGATGGTGGTGGTGGTGATGGTGGTGAGGGTTGACGGCGTCAGCGCTCTTCCCTCTATGGTGGTGATGGTGGTGGTGGTGATGGTTGCTGGTCAACTGACGGCCCAAACGTGGTGGTGAGCCCAGCGAGTCTGACGCTGATGGTGACGATGGTGGTGATGGTGAGGAGGGTGGCAGTGCTGCTGCGTACCCGTGCTCCATTGCTGCAACAACAAAGAACAACATTGTTATTACATATTATTTGTTATTGCTTGTAAGAACAGCAATAAGAGGACGCAATATGCGTCTTCTTGTTATTATTTATTATTGTTATTAGTTAGTATTGTTATCCCTTTGTTATTATTTATAAGAATAGCAACAAGACGAGAACAGCAACAACGCGCCACCGTTTTTGGCGCCAAAACAACGGCAAGAATGTGTCCACCCCCCCCACCTCCCTCCCTGTCTCTTATACACATCTAGATGTGTATAAGAGACAGCAACAGGGAAGCCTTATTGACCCATTTAACGAATTTGAAAACCCAATTGGATACTTGTAAGTTTCTGTATCGACTTATCAATATTCATTGATATTTCCACCCATACTAAGCCTTGCNCCAATACAATAGATCAAAAATTCAAGCGAAGTTACAAAGATTCCTCGATATTTCGTTTTCTATTTTTTTTTAATCTGGCTTGATGAAGTTGAATGCAAACGATAGTATTATTAATAAAATTTGACGCAAATGTGAATAACTATTGAGGATTTTTTAGCAATAATATTAATATATAAATATTTCAGAGCATAGCTGCGCTTCCAGTTTTTTTATAATGAAATCTCGATTGTAAAATCACCTCTATTTTTCAAGAGTTGCAAGTAGTAAAATTAGAACTTTGTTCGAGCTATCCCTATTAATTCTGTCTCTTATACACATCTAGATGTGTATAAGAGACAGCCCCCCCACTCCCACCTACTCGGGCCTCTTCCATACCCCCCATGGGCTTCCCCTTACCCCCACTGCGAGCCTCCCCCACACGCTCCCCCCAATCATAGCCCAGCGCAACGAGCTTTTGTGGAAGGGGGTGAGAAGGGGAGTAAAGGGGTGAGAGAAAGAGTGAGGGGGTGAGGGAGTGAAAGAAGGGGTAAGAGAAAGAGCGAAGGGGTGAGAGGGGGTGAGGGAGGCGCATGACAAAGAGAGCACTAGCAAGAGAGAAAGAGGAAATGGCAGGGCGAGAGTGTGATACGAAGAGAGAGAGAGAGAACTAGCACGAGGGGCAAGAGAGAGAACTAGCACGAGGGGCAGGAGTGAGAACTAGCGCGAGGGGCAAGAGAGAGAACTAGTACGAGGGGCAAGAGAGAGAACTAGCACGAGGGGCAAGAGAGAGAACTAGCACGAGGGGCAAGAGAGAGAACTAGCACGAGGGGCAAGAGAGAGAACTAGTACGAGGGGCAAGAGAGAGAACTAGTACGAGGGGCAAGAGAGAGAACTAGTACGAGGGGCAGGTTTTAAGCGGTGATCGCCACACAACAAAACTTTTATTCTCAGCCGAAGGCATGGAAAAATGTTTCCATGCCAATAATCAATAATAATAATATTATCACACATAATCCCTTGACAACACCAATATTAATTTATTTTCTTTTGTCTCCACCAAAAATAAAAAGCTCTAGGATGTAAGAAAGTAAACTTTCTGCCCGTGCTGATGGTAAGGCAGGAAGTGACAAGCGATCGCCTGACGCCCGCGAGCTGACGTAACGGCTGTCAGCTGCACTCGTCACCACGTGTAACACGTGCCACAGGAATAACACGTGCGTAACACATGCCGTAGGAATAACACGTGCGTAACACATGCCATAGGAATTATACGTGCGTAACACATGCCACAGGAATAATACGTGCGTAACACATGCCACAGGAATAACGCGTGCGTAACACATGCCACAGGAATAACGCGTGCGTAACACATGCCACAGGAATAACACGTGCGTAACACATGCCACAGGAATAACACGTGCGTAACAC